ACCTTTTATTTTAGGTGTAACAATGGTGACCACTTTTTTTTATAGCCATGTGTCATGGACTTAGAGTCTTCGTAATATTTCGTGCGATATTTAACAACTAATCACGAATCTTTCACGATCTTGTAAAAGTGGCAGGACGTAACACTTGCCTGTCGACAAAATATTTGGTGGGAATAACTTTGAATCTAACTGCCATTCGAATATCAATGAAAAATACCCCTAATTTTACTTCTGTTTCAAATATTGAAGACCTTACTTCACTTAATTGGGCTAGTGGCCCAATTATAAAAAATGGTAAAGAGCAGCCCAAAAGCCCATTTGCAACAGATAATTTGAAGACACAAATCAGCCTAAGTGTATATTTTCGTATAATATACATTCCGATATGAAAAATATACATTTGTTAACTATTATTTTGATGAATTGCTATTGTTTGAAATTTCTCCATCTTTACTGCCACAAGCCATATATTTTTTATTCGGTTTGGTATATATATATATATTTTTTACAAATCACAATAGTCTATATATAGCATTTTACAGTAAAGTATATTCAGGTAAACATCGGTCAACATTAGACATCGGAACCATCGATCTGAGTTGTAGTACAATAATTGGACTGTTTCACTTTCGATCAGAGATTTTAGTTTTGAGTCTTAGATATGAGAAAAAGTTTTGTTGGAAGTATCATCTTCGAATGACCCCTCACTATAACAAAATGATCATTAGCGATATTTAATTTTTTACCACTAAGTATGTATATTTAGCATCAATTGTCACTCTTTGTATATGTTTCTAAAGTATTTAGTGACATTGGTTCTAATGACACTTAACTAATGCCGGTAAAGACTTTAACACTCTTTATTAGTGTCAATATTTAATGCTGCTAAAAATTGCTTTTGTTATAATGACTGTATTATGTTATTTGAATTTAACCAAAATTCTAATGTGGACCCCATTACACGCGATTTGAGTTCAACAAAAGATTATTCTAATGAACTTAAATACTTTTGAAAAAGTATCAATCAATCAATTCAATATTTTTGGGTTTATAATATCTTGTCGTGATTGTGTGGGACTAGCAACGATAGGGACTAAGAAAATTTTATTTTCACTTTGATACTTTATACATATATTAATAGCCAATAAGGATTGTTTAGTTTGCGGATTAAGTTATTTCCAAAATTATAATTTATATTCATTTGATACTTGTTACACATATACTAACAGCCAATAGGCACTATTTAGTTTACGAATTGAATTAATCGATATCTGATATATTGTAAATAATAAAATTTACTTTGAAGAAAATAATAATAAAAATAAAAAAAATATCACAATAATTATATTATATGATTTCAAATATAATGAGTGTTACAATTTTCGAGAATATTCCTATCATTCTTTCAATAATAATATAAATTATGTCAAATTTGAATTTGATTTGATTCAAGAGGTGAAAGAGCTTGATTTTGGATTTCCATCTTGATTTGATCTAACTTATATAATATTTATACGAAAAATAAATTTAAATTTAAATTCATGCTACAACTTTCGATATTCGGATCAAATATATTTTTCGAACGTTGACTTTTACAAAGAAAACTAGCAGCCTTTGATTTCTCGTGCTTCTTGATATCAATAACAAGCACTTTTTTTTTTTTTTAAATATGAAGACCCACGTGTCATAATTATTGTGGAATGAAATATTTATGACGCAGACAAACTTTTTTTTGATTAATTAAATTAAAATTGATCTTTGATTTTGAAAAAGACATACTCCCTCCGTCCAGAAATGTTTATTATGTTGTGCTAATCGAAAGTTAATTTGATTAATTTTCAAAGGTAAATTAGATCACATTAATTCGATATTTTAAACAAAAAATTAGATTTTCTAAAGCTATATGAAAAGTACTATAAATTACCATCTTTTTATATTAATATGATTAAAAAATGCATCTTAAAATGTTAGTTAAAATTTTTATAGTTTGACTCTAAAAATAGAAATTATGACAAACAATACCGGATGGAGGGAGTATTTTACATGCTTGATATTATATTTTCACTCTTTCAAAAACAGTGATCTAGTTTGATTTGACACGAAATTTAAGAAAATAAAAAAGACTTTTAAATCTCGTGATCCTGATTAAAGTTATGCTAAATATATAAAATTGACCTTTTAAAAAGAAAAAAGGTCAATCTTTCTTAAACAAACTAAAAATGAAAAGAGGTCATTCATTCTTTTTAAAATGAAGGAGTGTGTAATTGTAAATATTTATTTTTAAAGGAACATAAAAATAAAAGATATACTAAAATATATTCATATGTATTATAATAAAAAGTGATGTTCATGCAATGCACAAGACCTAAGCCCAAAAACTTGATTTGTAACGTGTTCAAATAAGTAATATAGAAATTTTCACATAAAAATAGCTTAATTACTTTCCATAGGTATAGTTTGATAAATATAATTCGCAGCTATATGTTATAGGAAGGGAATGGGAGAGTGAGACTGGGAGAGAGAGGAGAGAGACGAGTGAGAGAGGGCAAAGGGTAGAGGCAAGCGAGAGAGGGCAAAGAGTGTGAGAGAGGTGAATTGTATATGTATATCGCTTGGACAATTGTATATTATACATATGTACTTGTATATATGACAAGTGAGATTCAGAGTCGGAGGAGAGAGGGGAGAGAGATTGGAGAGGAAAGAGATAGGCCATCGAGATTGGGAGAAGGTGGAGAGAAGCGAGCGAGAGAGGGCAGAGAGTAGGATAGAGGTGAATTGTATATGTATATTAGTTAGATAATTATATATTATACATATGCATTTGTATATATAGCAAGAGAAATTTGAAGAGGGAGGAGAGAAACGAGCGAGATTGGTAGAGGGAGAAGATATGCGAGCGAGATTGGTATAGGGAGAAGAGAGGTGAGCGAGAAAAGGCAAAGAGTGAGAGAGATGAATTGTACATGTATAACGGTTTGATAATTGTATATTATACATATGTATTGATATTATTGTATATTCTGTCGAATTATACATATTCAAACGTGACTAATTATACAAATTCTAAGTCAGCCCACATAATTAATGTATAATGTTAGTCGCGAGCATTAATTATAGCAAATTATAACTATGGTCATTACTAATTAAGTGATATAAATTTACAGAACCGCATAATTTTTCCTTTAAAAAATAGACCAAAAGATATATCTTACCTTAAATTTTTGGTCATTACATATTGTGTTAGCATCAAGCTAACAATGCATTAGTACCATCAAAAGATATAGTTTGTGCATAGTTAGGTCTGTTTGACAACCAAAATAACTATACCTAGATGTTTTAGCAATTGATATAACACATTAATTTCATAAAAAATTATTATATGGGAAAGAATTATCTACATTTGTAATTTTGAGAATTAACCCAATAAAAAAAATTCTCTGCCATTAAACAGAAATTGTGATTTCACATAATTTTTAGTTAAGAATTACACTACTGACACTACCAAGAATATTAACAATAGATTGTAAAAAATTTCTTTTGATCTTGCAACTGTTGTACTCTAGTTTTCCATTTTTTTTAAAGCAAACTTTTTTTTTTTTGCACATGGATATTGGTCTCAAAATGTCATATATATATATATGGTTGCCTCTTGTATTAGCTATTTTTGGAAGACATAATTGTTAATTTTTTTTTGCTCTTTCTCTAGGCCTAATTTTGAATTGTCATTGTAGCCATTTTAATTGAAAAATAGCATCTATTGATTACTGTTATAACCCTAGATTAATTGCTTATTTTCTCGCTCTACATAAATTATTGTTATATATAGCCCTCGAAATCTAAGTGATTAATATCAATATTAGACAAAAATTATTTGAAAAAATAAAAATGATAGTTAAATATCTTTTTGTATAAATATGGTTCTCCTAATAGAAATTTATTTCTAAATATTAATAAGCTAAAATAAAGATAAAATTTATAAATAATATAACTTACATAATATATTGTACAATTAAGTACTACAATAATTATGCTTATGCTTTGTCATAACTTCATCACCTTATATATCAAATCTTTTAGCTTATGCTTTGTCATAGATGTGAAGTATCTGTGAAGTTGTTGAAAGTTAAAACCTATAATTTTATTTCAACATACATTTTACTTAATAAAAATTCAAGTAGAAATTAGTATTTTTCTGTCTAAATTTATACGACACATTTTAAATTTTGAAATTTAAATAAATTTATTTTTTATCATAATCTTTTCATATATCTTTTTGAGTTGTCAATTATTCTGACACATAGTACTCTTGACTTAATTTATAAATATATAAATTTTATATAAAAAAATATAAATGATTCCATGAGCAAATTATCTGTCAAACTTAAACTGTTTGACTTTCGAAAAACGAAAGATGTCACATAAATTGGGACAAAAGAAATACTCCCTCTGTCCCTTTTTACTTGTCCACTTTTGAATTGGCACATCTGTTAAGAAAATAATTAATGATGTAGTGAGTTTACCATTTTACCCCTATTAATCATGAAGTGGATGAAAAATTCTATATTTTTTCGAAGTAATTAGTCATTTAATTGTGGGTATAATAAGTTAAAAAAATTGTCCTTTCTTGATTTGTCAAAATAGACAAATAATTAGAAATAACTATAAAAGAAAAAGTAGACAAATAATTAAAAATAACAATAAAAGGAAAAGTAGACAAGTAATTAGGGACGGAGGTAGTAATATTTAATAATTTTCTATAAGGAGGTACCAAACCACCCATATGAGTTGTTGTAAATAGCGAAAGGCACAAATTTGAATGAAAAAATTATCTTATAATATGTGATTCAGATTTAATTTACTTTAATGCGCGGAGATAAAAAGAAAGTATTCCAATTTGGTATTCTAAAAATAAGTGAAAACTAAAGATATCTAACATTCCACGTATGTTTTTGGCATGTGATGTTATCATATTCCAAATTTCAAAAAAAAGGCCAAAACTATCTTCTTTCAATTTCTCAAAACTCCAATCTTGCTGCGGTAGTAAATAAAATAAATAAACAAACAATTATTTGCCAATTTTTTCTCTTCGATTCAATTATTATTTTTTATATATATAGTATAGTAATGGGCAGCCAATGCTATTCCGCTTATTCTATCCAATCATTGAACCCCACGTGTCCATCATCTTCTTCCTCCTCTGTTATCTTCACTCTTCTTAAACCCCAGATTCACAGAAGAAGAATCATTACTTGTTGTAATAGTAGTAGAAGAAGAAGAAGAATGGCTAGTGTTGCTGCGATGAATGCTGTGTCTTCGTCATCTGTAGAAGTTGGAATACAGAATCAACAGGAGCTGAAAAAAGGAATTGCAGATTTATATGATGAGTCTTCTGGGATTTGGGAAGATATTTGGGGTGACCATATGCATCATGGATATTATGAACCTAAATCCTCTGTGGAACTTTCAGATCATCGTGCTGCTCAGATCCGTATGATTGAACAGGCTCTAAGTTTTGCTGCTATTTCTGGTAAAAATGGAACTCTCTCACATTATTAGTGTTACTGCTGCCTGTTTTCTTATTCATTTTTTTAATTACGGAGAGTCTATCGGAAATAAACTATTGGTGTGAGCAATAGTGGCTGAGTAAGAATTTTTAGGGTTTCAAAATATGAAAAAGTTTAAAAAAGGATTCGATAGGTATATATATAAAAAATAATTTTAATCATGTATAAATAGTGTAATTTTCAGCCGAAAGTGTTTGATGAGCCTGACCTCTTACATGCTCTGCACGTGGTACCAAATTACTCTTTCATCCTTAATAAGAGGTGTCGAATTTAAATTTCATTGATATGGAGTATCCTTTGTTAGGCAGCGTTTTATCTCAATTTGGTAATGACTTACTATCCGGTGCGAATCCAGATTTAATCAACCCCGATGCGGGATTTCCCCGGATTTAGTCGACCGGAAACAGGGTGGAAATAAACAAAACAAAAAAGAACTCTGCTCCTGGTTGTTGGGCTTCTATTTCTTTGATATTTATACTAGTCTATATTCATAGAAGCTAAGAAGTTGGACTTTTTTTCAAGAAAAAAGAAGGGGTCTATTGACTTTGAGTCCAGGAAATTGGGAAACAAGATGTTGAAGACAAAAAGGCTGAAATCTGAAGAGTGAAGGGTGTAGATGATGTATTATGTGAGAAAGAAAAGAACTTTTTTGTTTTGTATCTGTTCTTAATGTATGGATAGCTTATTTGTTTCCTATTTGATGTTTGAATATATAAAATGTTGGTCACTCAGAATCAACCTCCCTACCTCCGCGAGATAGGGGTAAGGTATGTATACAATCTAACCTTTTCAGAACACAATTGGGTTACATCGGGTATGTTGTTGTTGTGCTATCTTACGTGTTGCAATTAATAAACCAACATTTTCCATATAAGTTGTATACAATAGTTGTTCTGTATCTCCCTTATTATTTCAACTATTTGTATTTCTATAGATATTTGCAGATGCATATACTCGGGATTTATTCATGGTTGGAAAATTAGTGAAAGGGAAGGTTATGGTGTCATGATTTGGATTGGCTAAGATATAATTGTCCTGAATCTAGTTATACAAAGGCAATTTATACAGGGTAAATTAGTGCATAGATTGGGTAAATATAAATAATCCTCCACTGGCGGGCGATCATGCTTCTCATAGGATTTTTTGTTACTCGTGTAGTTTTTCTAATAATCGGACTTGGTAGTACTTGCATGTTATAAGATTGATCTTCCTACATGAATGATGAAAAACCGTGTTCATGAAACTTCCTTTTTTTATTGTAGTTATATATTCTGAAATCGATCACTCTTCTTGTTCTTATATACGAGTACCTTAATTTACAAGCATATTGTATATGTGCAGAAGATCCAGCGAAGAAACCAACGTCCATAGTTGATGTTGGATGTGGCATCGGTGGCAGTTCTAGGTACCTTGCAAAGAAATATGGCGCTACAGCTAAAGGTATCACTTTGAGTCCTGTACAAGCAGAGAGGGCTCAAGCTCTTGCTGATGCTCAGGGATTAGGTGATAAGGTATATGCTTTTGAGCTAGAATTTGCTTTATAACGCTATGTGTGAGAGACTTAAATCACTTGACCATTTCTTCATGAATAGTTAAAACACTAATGGTTGATTCATAGAACTGAGGATAGTTTATACTATGTGTTTTAATGAGCGAGTTCTTAAAACTACGTTCATTGTGCAAAATCTCTGCTCGTTGATGTTCAATGAATCATTATAACATACTTATCAGGAGATTTTGTACTGAACATAAAGCCATGTGATAATTATTACACGTACAATGGCTGTATATTGCAGCATCCAGCAGGAAGTGTTTAGTATGATCATTTTTTCAGTTAGTTGTGAAAACCCTTAATTTTGCGTTAGTTATTTGGATTCCCTTTACACTAATTTAATTGGACTGATTCCTAAAGGAAGCTAATGAAGAGGAGAGTTTACTGGTTTTCTCCTCAATATCATTTGTATGTCAACGTAACCTTTCCCCTATTGGCTCCCACTCCTACAATGTATAGTGATATCTTTATATGTTTTCACATAGAATTTGCTTCTCTGTTCATTAACCGGAATATAAATGAGCAGGTTTCATTTCAAGTAGCAGACGCCTTGAATCAGCCTTTTCCAGATGGGCAATTCGACTTGGTTTGGTCCATGGAGAGTGGAGAACACATGCCGAACAAAGAAAAGGTTCATTATGTCCGATACATCTTTTTTACTTATCTATGTATATTCGAATCTTCAGTAAATGTACATGGTGGCACTTGTCACTAATTGTTGTATAGTGTTTCTCCTAACCTCGTTTCCTTTATTGTTAGTTTGTTGGCGAATTAGCTCGAGTGGCAGCACCAGGAGGCACAATCATCCTTGTCACATGGTGCCACAGGGACCTTTCCCCTTCGGAGGAATCTCTGACTCCAGAGGAGAAAGAGCTGTTAAATAAGATATGCAAAGCCTTCTATCTTCCGGCTTGGTGTTCCACTGCTGATTATGTGAAGTTACTTCAATCCAATTCTCTTCAGGTAAATTAATTCTACTAACTGCTATGAGTTATGTCATGAACCTATCTCAAACATTACTCTTTTCGTTCCTGCTAATCTTTTCGCTACTGGCAGGATATCAAGGCAGAAGACTGGTCTGAGAATGTTGCTCCATTTTGGCCAGCAGTCATAAAGTCAGCACTGACATGGAAGGGCTTCACATCAGTACTACGCAGTGGTAAGTTGTGTCGTGCCAAATGTGTACTACAACTAAAAATTTAAGGCACCCCTTTTTCGTATTTGATTTATTGGAGTTACCTTATCAGGATGGAAGACAATCAAAGCTGCACTGGCAATGCCACTGATGATTGAAGGATACAAGAAAGGTCTCATCAAATTTGCCATCATCACATGTCGAAAACCTGAATAGTAAGTGAGGGTCCTGTTCAAATGAGAATTTCCTTATCGTATCTAAAAGTAGAAAGCCTTTATCAAACCGATACAACACTTTATTGTTCGCGGAGGATTCTTAATTATTGAAGCTTTATCAATATTGCAATTACAAACTCTCTTTACAATCCATATTACTCAGTTGGTTTATTGCAATTTGTTTCCGTTTGAAGACCAACTACATCGTTGGTCTTGGCTGGTACTCACAGCCATGGCTCCTTCTCTTCTTTTCGTTTTGAACTTTGATTACAATCGACACCTCTCCCGAGTCTTGACAGCCACTCCTGTATCAGTTGATCATGGCTGCACCTCTTTTAGTTGGTGATGTCTAATCTCTACGTAAGGACTGATTTTTGCTTGCATATATCAATCTTTAAGATTGAGACGTAGTTGATTGATGTAAAATAAATATTATTTCAGTATTTCTCAAGTCAGTCAGTTGCAACTTTCTGATTTCTTATTTTCTTATTGCAGATTATTGCTTAGCTACTGATGAATAATACAACATCTATGGATCTTGGAATGGAAGAAAAATAAACTAATCTATTAAGTAAAGAAAATGCAACATTGAATGAACTCTGGATTGCAAAGCTCAAGAAATTGCCACATTTGCTACAATAGCCTTAAATTTTAATATTCCATTTAAAATATTGTATTGTGAAATTGCCACATTGTACTGAACCAATCATCAAAAGAGTATCATGTCTCTAGTTATTATAAGAAGAATTGTTCAGCTTATCTGCTAATTATGTTAATGGGTTTATAAGTACTTAAGAGTATGATACAAATTGGGATGACAATGGGGTGTTCGCAGTGTGGTGGTGGTGGGGCACGTTGAGCTTAACCTGCAAAATTTTTAATTTATCCTGTGCTGGCTCGAATAACAACTTTTTTCATATTCAACGTGTCTCACCATGCCCTGCATAATTTTTTTGATATTTTCTTATTCTAGTTAAGTTTGATACTAAAAATAAAATTCGTAAAAATAACTTTTTATTTTCATTAACTATCTTTAATATTTTTGTAGCTTTATAGAAATTATCTTAATAAATAATGCTCTGTTACTCTTATTACATGTAAAAAGTTAAAATTTATTTTGAACCAACAAAAAATCACATATATCCGCAACTGCTCCGTCCCGCATTAACTTTTAGAAAACCCACTTCAGTGAAAGTCATCCTGCCCCACATCCGCACCACCCCATTGTCATTCCTGGACAGACAAGGATAATAAAAAAAATTGTTACAAAATACTTATATATTCTTGAACGCGTGCGTGTTAGATTGGTGAAAAGACATATATTTTTGAAGAATTCAACATTGGTGCGTATAGAATTTGCTAAAAATAATTAGTTTTCAAAGAATATGACATAAATACGACATCAGAAGTGTGCAACTAAGAACTTTGTAGGTCCATTGAAATAATTAAATTTTAAAAGTAAAGGTAGACAAATTCTTAAAGTATAATTAAGAGGTTAAATTAAAGAAGAAATAACATTATGTTATTGACAGCCTGTTGAAAATAAAATTACCACAAAATGCTAATTGACTAATTGAGTGAGCGATTCCTCATACTGAATTGACTGTCTAGAATAATTATTTGATGAAATGTTTAAAATGACAAAATTCTAATATATTGGTAGATTTTTAAAAGATAAGAACCAATAAATTTGACTATTGATATTTTTTCATTTATTGAGAAAACATTGTTTGATCATAGAGTTATCATTCTTCAGAATTTAACTATACAAAAAATTCTGATAAAAGTTTTTTTCCCTTCAAAATCACTATCAAGAATCCAAAATAAAAAATTAATTTTAATAATAGATAGTATTAAATAATATTAGTATTTACTGTGTACTAATTTTAGTCCTATTAGGATTAGTACTCCTTAATCCTAGTCCTATTAGGATTAGTACTCCTTCCTATATCTCCTATATATATCTCCCATGTATTCCCTTATTAGGTTAACACTTCAATACAATCAATATTCCTTCATGGTATCAAGAGCCAGAAAACCTAGATCTTCTTTTCTCTAGGTTTTTTTTCTCTCTTTAGGGCACCGATCGTCCCCTCTCTTCTCTTGGGCGGCGGCAGCCATGACAACCGAGTTGGATCCTCTCGATTTACTTCCTTCTGGCGTTAAACTCTTTCTCAGGCATCTTCATGCCCTGATTCCCAAAAAATTATCAGACATAAATTACCCTACATGGAAAATCACCGTCTTACAGCCCTTGAGGTCAATTACCTTCTCAAATACGTCGATGGAAGCACAGAACCGCCGCCGGCAGTCATCACCGCCACGGACAAATCAGAAAAAACCAATCCGGCCCATGCCGCCTGGAAAGCCGTAGATGGCCAGATCCGATCATGTTTGATTGCGGTCATCTCTCCCACGGTTCAGAAACACGTCCGATCCTACACAACTGTTTCAGCCCTGTGGACGGCCCTCGCAACACGCTATGCATCAATTTCCCACTCTCATATTTTTCAATTGCGTGATCATCTCCACACAATTACCAAATGCACGAAAACTATGGCGGAGTATTTAGACGAGGTCTCCACCATCATCACAGCCCTCGACACCGTGAACGAAATCATTCCCGAAAAAGATCTCGTCATGTTCGTCGTTTGGGGGCTCCCATCAGCTTACTCCTCCATTAAACAGGCGGTTCGCATCAGTCCAACGCCCGTTGACCTGGCTACTCTCTCCTCGTGGCTAAAAAGTGAAGAAATCAACGTGGATCTGGAGAGCAAACTTCTTCTCCGAGAAGTCGCTGTCATGGAGCCGTCCACCACCCTCACCGCAAGCCAGAACTATCGCGGGGGGCATGGTGGCGGCCGGCAGGGGAGCCGCGGCGGCTATGGCAGAAACAGCGGAGGCCACGGGCGCGGCGGTCGGCAGGGCAGTCGTCCGTCGTACGACGGTCAGCAGCACGGCAACAACAACAACTTGCACTCCTTCGGCAGCGGCGGGCAGTCATCTTCCAGCGGCGGGCAGGGCACTTACGAGCGGGATCGTCCAACTCGTCAAATCTGTCAGAAAACAGGACACACCATTGTTCTTTGCTGGTCTCGGTATGAGGAGAGCCGAAATAGTGATAACCGTGCCAATTATGCATCTCAAGCCGGCCCTTCCTCTGAATGGCTGTTGGATACTGGGGCCAACATGCACGTTACTTCTGATCTATCCAAGCTTAACGCTCCAAATCCATATCATGGCTCCAATGGTATTACTGTTGGCAACGGTGAGTCCCTTAATATTTCTCACACTGGCACGGGTACCATTAAAACCCCCATCGCTATCTTTCACCTAGGTAACCTTACCCACGACCATCTATTAAAATCAATCTTCTTTCAGTTCACCAATTCACAAAAGACAATAATTGCTCACTCTTGTTCACCTCTAATGATTTTCAGATCCTAGACAATAATACCAAGAGGGTGATTTTTCAGGGCCCCTGTGAGCATGGTCTGTACGTTCTTCCTGGCACAAGTTCGTCTGCCCACCCAGTTTCAGAAAGCGTTCCTGTGGCTTCGGTGGTTCTTTCGGCTGATGGCCACAGTCTGTTGTGGCACAGTCGTCTGGGTCACCCGTTTACTCAAATAATAAATTCTTTAATGTCTCAATTAGTTTTTTCTTCCATTCATGTAAACAATTGTGACTCCTGTTCAATTGCTAAATCTCATAAATTACCTTTTACTTTATCTGAGAAGCGTACAACTGCACCTTTTCAACTTATTCATTCTGACCTATGGGGTCCTACTGCTGTTCCTTCATTTGCTGGTTTTCGCTATTATATCTGTTTTGTGGATGATTTTACAAAATACACTTGGTTGTACCCACTAAAACACAAATCACAGGCACACACCACCTTTGTCACTTTTGAAAAAATGGTCAAATCACAATTCAATTCTCATGTTAAACTTTTTCGAAGTGACAATGGAAAGGAATACGTAAATAACATCTTTGGCCAGTTTCTGCAATCCCTAGGAATTATACATCAAACCTCCTATCCATATATTCCCGAACAGAATGGGGTGGCTGAGCGTAAGCATCGCCATCTCATTGAAACGGTGGTTACTCTTCTACATCAATCTCATCTCCCTGTCTCCTTTTGGGTAGAAGCTCTAGCCACCGCAAATTACCTCATTAACAGAATGTCCAGTCACACCCTCTCCAACAAATCACCCTATCAACTCCTTTACCAAGAACTTCCCAATTATACCAACCTCCGCGTCTTTGGGTTTCTTGCCTACCCTTGGCTACACCCTCATATTACTCACAAATTACAACCTTGATCCCGTCCTTGTATTTTTTTGGGCTATCATCCTACCTCCAAGGGTTATCGCTGTCTTGACCCACAAACTCATAAAGTCTACATATCTCGTCATGTCAAATTTGTCGAAAATGAGTTTTCCTACGAGTCTATTTCCTCCTCCACAAATACATAATTCATTGGCGTCCTTCCCCTTTTTTCAACATACTCACAGGTCCCTTACCACCTTCCCCCACACCTTCACCCACTACCCAACCACCCCTCATCACCCCTTCGACCGTCACCCACAATACACCCACAACCACCACCCACACTCCTAACCAACCCGAACCACCCAATACCCACAACATCTCCAGCCCGATCCGTTTTGGGTCCCTCCCGGCCACCCCCGAATCACCACTGCCCCTGCCACCCCCCAATACTCATCCCATGTTAACCCGTGGCAAAGCTGGTATCTTTAAACCCAAAACCTTTCAGGCCACCATACTACCAAATACACCCCTTCCCGATAGTGAACCAACAACCTACTCTGTTGCCTAAAAAAATGCTTATTGGCGTCATGCTATGGATGACGAGTTTACGGCTTTGACTGATCACAAAACTTGGGTTCTTGTACCTAAGCCCAATGGGCGGCACCCAGTGGGCTGTAAATGGGTGTACAAAATTAAACACAATGCATATGACAGTATTTCCAGGTACAAGGCTCGTTTGGTTGCTAAAGGCTACAATCAGGAGTATGGGCTTGATTACTCCGAGACATTCAGTCCTGTTATTCGGCAGGAAACCATTTGCCTAGTATTGTCACTCGCCATGCGCAACAATTGGCTCATCAATCAGTTGGATGTTTCCAATGCTTTTCTTCATGCCATGCTTGATGAAACTATCTACATGACGCAACCACCGGGCTATGTTGATCCCCGCTTCCCTCAACATGTTTGCAAACTCCAGAAGTCTCTGTATGGGCTCAAGCAAGCCCCCCGTGCTTGGTACACACGTATGAAAACGTTCCTCCGGGACTCGGCTTCACGTGTTGCGTACACGACATGAGTCTGTTTACTCGACATTCAGCACACGGTACAGTCATTCTTCTTGTCTATGTAGATGATATCATTATTACAGGCTCTACTGCAGCTCTCATTCAGGATGTCACTCGAGCTATGCATACTACCTTTAAAATGAAGGACCTTGGCCCGTTACATTATTTTCTGGGAATGGAGGTTTCTCGGACAGGCATCGGCTTGTTTCTTCATCAGTCAAAATATGCTCGAGATCTGTTGCAGAAAGCTGGACTGGAAAAATGCACCAGTCAACCAACACCGATGGCAGTCTGTTCGTCAGCGAATGGAGCCGACACCCCCTTTGCCGATATCACCCACTTCCGCAGCCTCATTGGGGCTCTACAGTATCTGGCCATTACCCGTCCTGACATCCAGTTTGCTGTCAACCGAGTTGCTCAGCGCATGCATCAAC